GAAGAAAGAAAGAAAGGAAGGAAGGAAGGAAGGAATAAAGAAAGAAAGAAAGAAAGAGAGAGAGAGAAAGAGAAAGAAAGAAAGAGAAAGAGGAAGAAAGAGAGAAAGAAAGGAAGAAAGAGAGAGAGGGAGGAGGAGGAAGGGAGGAAGGGAGGGAAAGGAAGGAAGGAACGAACAAAGGAAGAAAAGAAGGAAGGAAGGAAGGAAAGAGAGACAAACAATTGGCAAGCATAGGGTAGTCCTTAAGGGTAGACTTAAGGCAAGGAACATGTACTAACATTACACATGAAAACTTTTCCTAGTTTTCCAGTACCACTTCTTCATGTTGCAAGACAAAGTTAGCAATCCTGTTATTTACAATGCCATAATTCTTTGAATGCTTTTAAAAATGGAAACATCTTTTTCCTCTCAATTTCCTAATGCCATTTTTTGCTCTTTCTTTTTACTGTTAAGGTGGTGTACAGAGGTATTACAGTTACATAAGTAAGGTAATAAGTACATTTCTTGTCAAACTTGGTACCCCTTCCCTCATTTTTCTCCTACTTTCCTTCCCCCCCACCCTCCAAGTTGTACAGATCCTTTCCAACATGTTGTCTTGTGTATATCACTGTTCCATTGGTTCCCCCCTTGTCCTTTGTCTCACCATTCTTTTGTTCCCCTTCCTTCCCTAATTCAAATAAACATATATACAATACCAGGGTACCAAAATCAAATACAATGACAACAGGGGACATACCATAGGGGAAAGAACATACAATACAAACGAGAAATCACATAGTACATTAAAAACAACAACAGCAAAGAAAAACCTCTTGTGTCCATGTCTTGGAGTTCATTTCACTTAGTATCATTTTATATGGTCATATGTACAGTGCTATTGAGGTATTCTGCTCATCTCCTAAGATGATCCTAGACATATACTAATTATTGTAAATAAGGGAAACCATGGGACCTGTTTCTTTGGGTCTGGCTTACTTCATTTAATATGATTTTTTCCAAGTCTTTCCATTTCCTAACAAATGGGGTGGTGATGTTCCATATATATAATATATATTATATATCCATATATATATATATATATATATATATATATAATCACATTTTCTTGATCCATTCATCTACTGAGGGGCATCTGGGTTGGTTCCATATCTTAGCTATGGTGAATAATGCTTCCTAAGCCATTTGTTTAATGTTGATTATGTCAAAACTTACATCGCTACAACATCTATTGTGCAGTCTGTTAAAAATGCCTTCTAATGACTCTCAAAATGTTGTCAATGTGTTTTCCATAAGAGAACGACAAACGCAGGGCTATTCAGAGAATGCAGGAAAGCCCTAAAAGAAGTCAATGGCAATCTGAGATGCCAGAGGAGCCTGTATAGGGGTGATAGGACTATCCTGTTTATTAGCAACAGGTCAGGGGTGGGGAGATTCCAGGATAAAGGACTTTGACAGCCACTTTGCCTCCCTTAGGTGCTCTTGAACACACATGCACACAGGCAACTCCAGCCCAAAGATAAGAACTGGAAAACTGGAAAGTGGGTAGTACAGAATTTATCTTGTGCATAAATTAATGAAAAATCACCTTCACATCAATGACCTAGTTCCTGAGTGCTGTATGCATAGAATACACACCAAGTAGAATAGCAAAGGCCTGGCAAAGCCAGTTGACATGGAACTGATACGGACAAGCAAAAGTGAATAAAACTTATGAACTGTTTGCTAGAACAAAACAGTCAATATTTCCCCAAAGGTATTTTTTTGTTTTTGTTTTCTCTTGTTTTGTGTCTTTATCAAGACCAAGGTGGATGCCGCATAAGATTAAAAATATACAAGATAAAATTCATAATTAGCCAACATAAAAGAATTTGAAAAATATGACCAATTCTCACAAGAATATATAATCAACAACTGGTAGCTATCAGATAATAATGAATTAAAAAATTTCAAAAATGTTAAAGTAGTTTAAGAATTTTTCTTATATACACACATATGTGTGTGTTACTAGATAATTTCTTGGTTTATGTACCAGAATCCATACATCAATGTTCACACTAGTGTTTGTTGTAATTGCAAACCTAATAAAAGAAAGGCTAGAGAATCAGCAAGCACATTACATATATAGAGAACTAAAAGACACTAGAGCTGCATGTAATTACATGTCACCACTCAGTATTAATTTTAAAACATTAATATTATATGTAAAAAAGAAAATCTTACATAATAAACTATCCTATGTGGCATATCAGTAATTAAACATGCAACTACATAAATTAAATTTTTATTTTTTAATATGTATGAATGTATGTTATGGGGACTTGCTATGCTTTCCAGACTAGGCTCAAGTTAATGACCCTCTGGTATTACAAAAAGGCACCACTACACCTAGCGAAGCAAAACTTTAAAAGGCAAAGGAACAAATTCAAAAGACATAACTGTTTTCTACTTGAAAGAGGGATGGGATGAGGAATGACAGCAATTTTCACAATAGTGCCAAGATTCTAGTTCTCAAGTGACTGGTTGGCTCCTTTATTACACTGCTTAGCTGTTATATCTATGTAGGGTTGTCAGAAAATATTAGGTTTCAAAAGCCCAGCACCAGTGGCTCACACCTGTCATTCTTAACTATTCAGAAGGGAGAGATCTGAGACTCACACTTCGAAGCCAGCCCAGGCAGGAAAAGTCCAGGAGACTCTTATTTCTAATAAACCACCAAAAAGCCAGAAGTGGATCTGTGGCTCAAGTGATAGAGCTCTAGCCTAAACACAAAAACAAAATAAAAAACAAACGAACAAAAAAAACCCTCAGGACAGCACACAGGCCCTGAGTTCAAGTCCCAGTAATAGCCAAAACAACAACAACAACAAAGAAAGAAAGAAAGAAAGAAAGAAAGAAGGAAGGAAAGAAAGAAAGAAAGAAAGAAAGAAAGAAAGAAAGAAAGAAAGAAAGAAAGAAAGAAAGAAAGAAAGAAAGAAAGAAAGAAAGAAAGAAAGAAAGAAAGAAAGAGGGCTGGGAAGGTGGCTCAGTGGTAGAGCACTTGCCTTGCATGCTTGAGGCCCTGGGTTCGATTCCTCAGCACCACATAAGCAAAAAGAAAAAAGCCGGAAGTGGCACTGTGGCTCAAGTGGTAGAGTGCTAGCCTTGAGCTGGAGAGCTGAGGGACAGTGCCCAGGCCCAGAGTTCAGGCCCCATGACCAGACCCAAAAAAAAAAAAAAAAAGAAAGAAAGAAAGAAAGAAAGAGAGAGAGAGAGAAAAAAGAAAGAAAATAAAATGAAACCTTGGAAAGAAATTTCTCACAATAAACAAAATGCTCAAGGTTGGTACTCTGCCACCTGAGCCAAACCTGCACTTCCTTATTCACAGAAAGTTTTATGAACTTGTTGGATGCTATACCATTATGAGGTGAAAAATATTTCAAGGTCTTGGAATTTTTTTTTAAGAATTGGATATAGAACTAATCAAGAGACCTTTTTATGTCTGGCCAGTTATAAAGGATTAAGATCAATATTGTTGTTAGTTTATATATAATACTGAGGATAAATGTGTTAAACCTGCATAATTGTAAGTCTAGGATCCTCCCTCAGTATGAAAGTCTTTGATCATGCTGTTGAACTCTCTGCCTAGAAGCTTTATTCTGTCTACTGAGTCAGGTACAGTGTTCAGAGCCTACACCCTACAATTACCAGGAGTGCATTTAAAAAAAAAAAAACTTCACTTCTAAAAAAATGTGGTAGGTTGTCTTAAAGTTATCTCTACTTTTATAGATACAAAAATATTGGCTTAAAAGGTGTTCTCGGAAAAAGGAGTAGAATGCAGTCAATATATATACTACAAAATGAAAAACAGTGAGAGGAGGGGTAGGTTGGTAGGTTGGGGGGAGTGGAGAGAGAAAGTTGAAAGGGGCGACATTGATCAAGATACACTGTATTCATAAACCGCTTTGTTGAATGGCAACTTCTTTGTATAGCTACTTTAAAAATAATAACATTCTAAAAAGAAAAGATATTCTTAGGAAAGAATAATTACAGTGATGATTCAGCATACACAGCCCAATACTAAGAGATTTCAAAAATCAGTATTCTTAGGAATATTTGGGGGAATAATTTAATAATATGTGTTGAAATTGGCAAACTATTGTTCTGAAGTGTCTGTAAAGTTACTGAAATGTGAGGCTGGGAATGCAGCTTCGTGGTAGAATGCGTGCCTAGCATGCATCAAGCCCTGGGTTCTATTCCTCAGTACCACGTAAACAGACAAAACCAGCAGGGGCACTGTGGCTCAAGTGGTAGAGTGCTGGCCTTGATCAAAACCTCAGGGACAATGCAGTTGCCAGGCCCTCAGTTCAAGCCTCAGAACTGGCAAAAAAAAAAGTAAAATAAAAAGTTACTGAAATGTGAAGAGATTTAATCAAATGCACCGTGTTCATAAACTGCTTTACTGAATGGCAACTCTTCTGCACAACTACTTAAATAGATTTTTAAGTTAAAAAAATAAAATTCCTTCCCCCAATGGAAATAAATGCACATTATATGATGATGTCTAAAGAAACACATCAATGTCGGGGGGGGGGGGGGGGGGGGACTGGGTCCTCCACCCTCTCTTAAGTAACTTCCACAACTTGGACCAGCCCATGCTAGCCGACCCCAGAACGCACGCTGGGCGACCTGTCCTTCCTAGTTTCCACTTCCGCCGCCATTCCTCTAGCTCCGCCCACCTGAGCGGAAGGACTTTCCTTTAGGGGTCCTCCCGCCTGTAGGGGGCTCTCCGAAAATTCTAGTGCCACGAAGGCCGCCGGTGTAGGCTGTCCCAACGACGCCTGTTCAGTTGCTCTTAGAAAAGACGTTTATACTATAACTTTGGGGCCAGGAAACAATCTCCCTGACATCTCAGCCTGGAGAGTAACGTTCCAATCAGCGCGGGTCTCAAGGGCCGGATTGTCAAACCCCGAGGCGGTGTTGGGCGGGAATCAGGCAGGACGAGGGCAGCCCCGAGGAGGAGAAAGCCCCCAACCCGCTTCCTCCGGTGAAGACGTAGCTGCGGGTGGCGGCGGTAGTAGCGGCGTCCAAGATGTCGACCAAAAATTTCCGAGTCAGTGACGGGGACTGGATTTGCCCTGACAAAAAGTGAGTCTAAGAAGGGCGCCGGGCTGGGACTGGGTCTCCTGACGGAGCCTTGCGGAGGCTTCCCACCCGACCTTACTACTAGTGTGTGAGTCGTGTTTTTCCCCCTCCTCACGGGCGGGTGGAGGCGGCGAACTGCCGGCCGCGTCCGGGGCGGGAAGCGGCGGCCGCGCCTCTCCTGAGAGAAGGGGTCGCGGGCGGAGCGGGAGGCTTTGTGTCGGGTCTGGCGGCCGCGTCCCCTCGGCTGTGATTCATCCGAGGTGGCGTCGGACTCGTGGGGTGCTAGGCCGTCCCCCCCACTCGGGCCGGGCCTCTGCACACCGCCGCCCCGCCGCGGCCCGGGCCCGGCTTCGGCGACCCGGAAAGCCTGCCCGGTGGAGGCCGGCGCGCGGCCGGGCCTCCCACGTGACTTCGTCCTGGGAACTTTACAGATTGCCGTAGGCCAGGGTAGGGCCTTGTTTTCCCCGGCTGGGCCTTTTCCCTCCTGTCATTTCCCGTGTTTGGGTCCTTTTTAGGGGGAGTGGGTGGGGGGGGGGGGTCAGGTTTTTCCGTTGCTTATTCCTTTACCCTAATGCCTTTGGTTGGGGAAATTCGGACTGACTTTCTCTCTTTTCTCTTTCGCGCTGCGTTAATTTCTTCACAGGGAGTGGAGCTCTTTCCCCTCTTCAGGGCTTTGATTTTTTTTTTGCCTGCTCAGCCCTGGAGGTGCCTGAGCACGTGTCTGCCTTCTATTTATTTTTTAACATTGTTGCTCTTACTCAGTTGTCTGTCTGTCAGTCAGATCTTTCCAGGAAGGGTCAGCAGAGAGATGTAACTGTTTAGGAACAACCAAAGAGATGGTAGCCAAGCGCTGGTGGTGGCCCATGCCTATAAGTGATCTTAGCTGCTCGGGAGGCTGAGGTCCAAGGCTGGGGATTGGTTTAAAGCCAGCCCAGGCAGGAAAGTCTCTGACCTTTACTTTTCCAGTGAACCACACCAAAGCCAGAAGGAGTTGTGGAAATGGTGGAATGCTAGCCCTGAATGAAAAAGCTAAGGGACAGCTTTCTGGCCCTGATTTCAAGCCCCAGTCAGTACCAGCACCAAAAAACAAACCAACCCACTTGTTCCTAGCCACAGATTGACTGAAGAGCAAAAATTAGAACTCAGTTCTCTTGTTTTTTTGGACCACCTCTTTTTAAGTATTTCATCTTTACCAAAAAAGGAGAATTGCTGTTTTACAACGAACACATGAAAAGTAATATGAATCGTGTATGTAGAGCAGAGAAACTAATCGATATCTATTAATAGTAGGTAGCTGTTAGGTAGATGTTATTCATATTGACAGGTAGCTGTTATTGATGTTGTTAGCCTTGATAGCTATTAATGGTTCTTCAATATTAGGACTATGAAAAAAGTTGATTGAATATAAATTATGCCGGGAATATAATTTTTGTAAGTGGAATGACACTTAAAAACCCTAGAACAGCTTTTGACTGCATTAGTGGTCACCTGTAGAACAATGTGCTATATTCTCAGTAAAGAATATTATATATATTCCTTTGTGAGATACAAGTGGCTCATTCTTGCAATCCTGACTACTCAGGAGGTTCAGATCTGAGTATCATAGTTCAAAATCAGCAAAGCAGGAAAGTGGAGTAGGCACTTACCTCCAATTAACCATCAAAAAAGCCAAAAGTGTTGCTGTGGCTTAAGTGCTGTGGCAAAAAAGCTCAAGGACAGTGCCCAGCATCTGATTTCAAGCCCTATACCTGACACAAAAACAAAACAAAGAATGCTGTGTTCTTAATAGCACATCTAAACATTTGTGATAGCACTTTTTTTAAAATTGTTATTATAAAGGTGATGTACGGAGGGGTTGCAGTTAACGTAAATCAGATAAAGAATACATTTCTTTTTGGGCAATGTCACCCCTTCACTTAGTCTTAAGGTAACACTCATAAAGAGTGAAATGCATGAAGTCTTGTGCAATTCAATTAATTTAAAAAATAAAATATTACATCTTGACATGTATAAATCCAAGGCCTACTAGGGTCATAAGAAATACTTTTTTAGGGTAAAAAAACAAAAACTAAAATTACTTAGACTGATTTAGTTTAGTTCTGTACATTATAAGTGTATTTTTAAAAATTTAAGCATTACATGTCATTAGAACATTTAACACATTTTACTTTAGTAGTTTTTAAATATAAAGCTAAAGACATCCTGTCTTAACCCCATTCCTTATTGGTTTGATTGTTGAGCTATTTTTCTCTCCATCTCAAGTTTGATACCCCATAAAACTGAATTTCATTATTATTGTATATGTTTCTAGTTAATACAACCTTTCTTCTTTACTTTGCTGCCTTTCGTCCTATTACAAAAGAACATTTTATCAGGATCTATGAAGCCCTTTATCCCTCATCCCCCCCCCCAACCCATTGATTCACCTGTAGAATTTTATGTTTCTTATGAAAACATCACATTATCACATATATTTTCTTTCCTATACTGACAATGATTTGGGTCTTTTACTTTTTTTAAACTCACTCATGTCTTGAACTTCCAAGGGTTTCCATTATTAATGATATAATATGAAGATAGCATGGCACAATCGATAAATGACTTAATCAAGGTCGCATAACAAATGCATTTAAGATTGGACTTTTTGGTCTTGGATTTGTGATTCACAATTCATTTTTTTCTATTAGATTTTCTGTAATTATAATGTTAACATTATTATGACTCAAATTAATTAGAAGCACTTATATTCCAGACACGTAGTGAGGACATGTGAAAATGTATACATTTTAAGGTTCTTTCTATATTTTATTTTCAGATGTGGAAATGTAAACTTTGCCAGAAGAACCAGCTGTAATCGATGCGGTCGGGGTAAGTTCTTAATGAAGAGTCTAGTAATACTTTATATATAGATTGCTTCTTTACTTTTGCCAGATTTATATTGTATTATTTTTCTGTTTTCAGAAAAAACAACTGAGGCCAAGATGATGAAAGCTGGGGGCACAGAAATAGGAAAGACACTTGCAGAAAAGAGCCGAGGCCTATTTAGTGCTAATGACTGGCAATGTAAAACGTATGTGGTTCAAATTGTCCATTCTTCCAATAATATATCCAGCCATTAGTTATTATAGATTCTTACCACATTGTCAAACCAGTATATCTTTTCAAATCAAAGGTCTGTTGATAGTTACTCACTCTTCATGTCATATTTGTGTAATTAAAAGAAATTTTAGATTCTTTTGTTTGTATCTTTCAAAGGTCTTGTTATTATGATAGAGATTATATCTACCAGTAAATGAATGTTTATGTGTTAGCTAATACAGAAGGGGTGAACGACATTATACAGATACATACCCAGCCTGACTTCCCTGTTGACACATTTCAGAAACTTTTAGCCTCTGTCATTAATGTGAAGTACATAACAAAATTGATTTGGTCTTGTTTATAAAATAACTAAAATAGTAAGTTACTGGTCATGAAATGCCATTCCTAATTAGGTAGTTTTTATTTCTTTTTTTTTCTTTTTTTTGGGAGGGGGGGGTCCGGTCGTGGGGCCTGAACTCTGGGCCTGGCCGCTGTCCCTCAGCTCTTCAGCTCAAGGCTAGCACTCTACCACTTGAGCCACAGTGCCACTTCTGGCTTTTTTCTTTTTGCTTATGTGGTGCTGAGGAATCGAACCCAGGGCCTCATGCATGCAAGGCAAGCACTCTACCACGAGCCACCTTCCCAGCCCCTGTAGTTTTTATTCTTAAGTAAATTTACTTCTGCACTGATTTTTCTAACATCTTTTCTATGATGCAGATGAATCCTATATAAAAGAGCACTGAATCAGGGAATTGTCTTATATAAACCTTCATCCTTTAAAATTTGTGTTTTTATAACTTATTTAATTCACAGGATTTGGTATATTAATGGAATTTAGTACTTAAAACTGATTCCTTGATGCAAGAGAATATTTTAAGAATATCAATAAAATTTTATTTCAGATGAATTCAGAGACTGAAAAGTGGTAGGAAGTTTAAGGTAATATTTCTTTCCTAAGGTGGCAAAATCTGAAGTTACTATGTATAGTTAGTTTCTCAAAATCACAAAGGCATTTTATATACTGAATAGATTTTGTTCTCTGCCTAAGTGGTTCAGTCAATTGTTGGAACCTACATTCTCATTTCCATTATCCTTGATATTACAATGATTTTATCTTGAGAATCTAGGATGTCTAATAATATTTTTCTAATTATTATGGCTTTCTGATCTGGTATTTCTCTTTGCTTTAGTTGCAGTAATGTGAATTGGGCTAGAAGATCAGAGTGTAACATGTGTAATACTCCAAAGTATGCTAAATTAGAAGAAAGAACAGGTAAGATAAAACCAAATGATTTTCAAAAAGAACTAAAGATTGTGTTTTGGGGTTGTGCGTGTGTGTGTGTGTGTGTGTGTGTGTGTGTGTGTGTGTGTGTGTGTGTGTGTGTGTGTGTGTTTCCAGCAAGGCAAAATTTACTTCTATGCAGAAGGGCTTGCCTTTGAAAACCAAGCAGTTTTAATTAACTTAGTTATACAGAGGGTAACTTCGTTGTTGCATTTCTATATAGGTTTACAATGTTATGATCAGTCTCACTCAGATCACTTCCTCCCTCCTTTCCCAATACAATTTAGACAGGTTTCTTTGTCCAATTTTCAAAGTTGCAGACAGTCTCAACCATATTCAAAATACATTTCAAAATTCTTCACCCTCTATTCTTTTTTTCTTTCCCTCAGTCTTTTCCTAAGATGTCCCTTAGTTGTATTCAGGTTCTGTGTTCATATACAAATATCTGAATCTATAAATTGGCATATTAGTGTATGTATGTGAGTATGTATGTCTTTTATGTTTTAACTTCCATCAGTGAATGATACATTTTGTTTTCTTCCATAAGTGGATGATAAATTTTGTTTTCTGAGCTTGGTTTGTCTCAGCATGATAACCGCCAGTTACATTAATTTTCCTGCATATGACATGATTGAAATATTTTATCTTCTTGAAAAGTCATAGTAATAATGGAGAGTTCTATTTTATTTTTTGGTCAGTCACAGAGCTCTCTCTGAGCTTTTCTGCTTAAGGATAGTGCTCTATCACTTTGGTTTTCCGGTGGTTAATTAGAGATAAGAGTCCCACAGACTTTCCTGCCCAGGCTGGCTTTGAACCATGATCCTTAGGTTCTCAGCCTCTTGTGTATCTAGGATTACAGGCGTGAGCTAACAGCACCCAGGCCCCCCCTTTTTTTCCTGCTAGATACTTTAACTTAGTATCTGAACTCTACCACTTGGACCACAGCAATACTTCCAGATTGTTGGTAATTAACTCAAGAAGAGTTCTGCAAACCTCAGATCTCAGCCTCCTAAGTAGCTTAGATTATATATGCAAGCCCCCAGTACCTGGCTACCCTTAAATTTTATAAAAGATTACAGTGTTAGGGATCCCTTTCCTAACAAAGATGCGAGTAATACCATTTATTTGATACCCTAGTGTAACAAAAAGGACAAACCTTTATTTAGTTTTTCTCTAAATTCTAGGCAGTAATAGTTATGTGTTAGACTCACCTGAAAAACTTTAAAATACAGATTCCCAAGCATAGAACTATGAAATCTTTCCAGGTAGGTTAACTGTCAAAATCTTTGCAGGTGAGTCCCAAAAGCCTGTAGAGTATTTCAATGGTGTTTGGTAACTATTGGCTTAAATAACGTTCTTGTGTGTTGTCAATGTTGAAATTAAAATAACAGATAAAATCTAATTTTCCTATTAATCTCTTAACTGCTTATATTTTACATAATCAAAGTTGGTAGTGAACTACTTGTCTGGCTTCATTTTCTTAATTTCAGATTACCTTCATAGACTATTTGGTTTCTGGGGATTATGAGCCCATTGATGAATTTTGTAGGCCCTACCACTTTTAGACTTTAAGAGTTTTAATGGCTTTCCAACCTTTATATTCTGTCTCATTCTCAGGAAGTAATTTTGACTTTGGACTGTGAGGATAAAAAGGGCTGTTCATTTTTATTCTTTCATTTCTCCGTGGTCTGCCTTTTGTTATTGTCTCCTTTGTAAATTGATGTCTTCAGTTCAAACTTGAGTGACCTATGTTTACAACTGTTTCAATATAGCTGTGTAATGTTAACTTCACTATATTCTAACCCAGGTTCATGATTTTCCCCCACCAGGACATGGACCTCTTCCAACTATCTCTTTTTGTTTGATTGGTTTTATTCCCCCTAAACTGATGAGTTTTTGTTTTTGTTTTTGTGGGTTTTTTTGTAAAAACGCTTTTGAATACTTTAAAGATTGAATCCAAAATTTTGGAGTTTTTAAAATTTATAGAAGCTGTAATCACAAACTGGTTGGTAGGTAGTTTGTTTGATGCCTTCTCATTTTGCTCAGTCATTATCTTTGCATCATTCTGGTGTCCTGAACTTAGCTGGCTACACTATTTGTCTTGGCTGGTAACAGCTGAAGGTATCAAGTAACTTTTATCTAAGGTTCATGTGACCATAGGACACTGAGAATAAACAGAATCTTAATGCACACCCTCTGGGAAAGATTACTGACTATTGCATAATGCCGTAACATTGTGCAGTAACTTACCTCTCCATTATCCTGTCTTGGAATTTATAGTTCAGTTTATATCTGCTTTTTTAAAAATTTATAACCACTGAGACTGACTTCATGGAAGCAGTCTTAATATAATGGAATTGTTCAGAAATTGAATTCATTGTTCAGAAAATAGAATCAAAATTTCCAACTAGTTCTTTAAACTCATCCTCCCTTTTCCATTTTGTTTGCTTGTTTTAGCTAAACTGTAGCCAAAAGCTTTTTAAAGAAATTGAAATTCTCATAGCTGGGCGCCGGTGACTCACACCTGTAATCCTAACTACTCAGGAGGCTGAGATCTGAGGATCATGGTTCAAAGCCAGCCCAGGCAGGAAAGTCTGTGAGACTCTTATCTCCAATAAACCACTAGAAAAACCGGAAGTGGCACTGTGGCTCAAGTGGTAGCACGCTTGCCTTGAGCTGAAGAGCTGAGGGACAGTGCCCAGGCCCAGAGTTCAAGCCCCACGACCAACAAAAAAAAAAAAGAAAGAAAATGAAATTCTCTAAATGTTACCATAATTATGTTCTATATTCATTGAAAAATATTACCCAGTGTGCGTTGTGCTTGGTTACATGGGTGGAAAAAAATAAATACATATAGCCAAGGCCACTGAAGTCTTCTTTGAGAAAGCTGTGTTTAAGCAAGATTTTGAAAGATGAGTTACTAAATAATGATTTGATGAAAAAAATTGAAATAGGAACAAATAACCCTTTTGGAAACTCAGTTAAAGAATTCCTAGTTAGCTCCAGAAAACAAAAAAGATACATGCAGCAACTACGTATAGCATAGAAAACAGATTATAGTTAAAATAGATATTTAGTTACAGGAATAATAGGATTCCAGTTTTCTCAAAGATCTGTAGAAATTATTGCAGTATAGCGATGACAAAAAAGCAAACCGTTTTACAGTTGCAAAAACAATGAATGCAATACCATATCTTTAATAAACCAATTCTTCAGTATAAATGGTATACTGCATGTGTAGGGGAAAATGAATTGAATTTGTTGTCAGCTTCTCTTCAGTAGTCTGTGTGACTACTGTTGTGTTAAAACAATGGTTTTACTTATGTATCCTTACAAAATTACCTACATAAATTATAGATCACTCTCTAATCGTCTAATTTATCGTCTAGGTTATTTCATCTTTTTAAATGATATATTACTAAATGTAAGCATGAAACTTGCTCACATTCTACATTATGAAACTACACTGTTCAGGTTAATAAATGTTTCTATCTGGACAACATAGATTTTTTTTTTTTAATTTAATCATAGCCTACTTGTAAGTATTTTAAAGTTTTCACTAATCTAAAATGCAATGGAGTCACCACCAGTGGCTCATACGTGTAATCCTAGCTACTTAGAAGGCTGAGGCCTGAGGTTAGTGGTTCCAAGCCAGCCCAGGTAGAAAAGTCCATGAGACTCTTATTTCTAGTTAACCACCCAGAAAAAGTGAGTAGTGGAGCTGTGGCTCAAGTGGTAGAACACTAGCCTTGAACGAAAAAACTTGGATAGCATGCCCAGGCCCCAGATTCAAGCCCAAGGATAGGCATTCATGCACATGAATGCAGTTTAGGAAAGGGAAGGATGTGTTAATGTAATTATTTTCAGAAAGTGAAACATGAAACATTTTTAAAATTTCTATTTTTGGCAAGTTTAAAATTTTTCTTGAAGTCTTCATGTTAGGAATCACTAGCTTTGTATTGGTATTACCTTAAAATATATGATTTGCTTGCTATGTTAAAGAACCTGACTGACTTTTAACCAGGCAGTAAGAAACAGTTGCCATTCAAACCAAATAAACCAAGACCAAAGGGTAGCCCTATATCGTTAAATTTGCCTGTATACTATGTTGGAAATGAACTATGTAACTTGGGAGGCAGGAAAGTTGGAAGAGGAAAGTCTGGGAGAGAATGAGAGAAGGAGTGACACTGTTCGAAAGGAAATGTACTCATGACATGACTTATATAACTAACCCTTCTGATGTAACTCTACATCACCTTTAGAATAAATTTTAAATTTTTTCAAAAAACTAATGAAGTCATAAAGAATATAAAAATATAAATTTGCGGGGCTGGGAAGGTGGCTCAGTGGTAGAGTGCTTGCCTTGCAATGCATGAGGCCCTGGGTTCAATTCCCCAGCACCACATAAGCAAAAAGAAAAAAGCTGGAAGTGGTGCTGTGGCTCAAGTGGTAGAGTGCTAGCCTTGAGCTGAAGAGCTGAGGGACAGCACCCAGGCCCAGAGTTCAGGCCCCACAACTGGACCCAAAAAAAAAAAAATATATATATATATATATATATATATATATATATATATATATATATATATATATATATATAAATTTGCCTGTATCGTTACAATTTTCCAAGTTCTAATTAACTTAGCAAAGTTTAAGTTTACCAAAAGATTTCAGGCTACCTACAACTGGTAAACAGGAAATTTAATTTGTGTTTTTTTTCTAAACTTAGTTTACCCAGACAAATTCTGATAAGACATGAAAGGTGTTTTTTTGTAATTATCAAAACAAAACATGGTTGTTATAATAGAGGTTTAAATAAGTTGGCTGTTTTCTGCTCATATCTTCTATGAATGATCTGTGATACAGCAAATTTTGGAATTGAGAAGAGTTACACAGTCTTGACTTTCTAAGATAATTGACTTTGAATTTATTCCCTATAGTGAATTTTAACTTTTAAAAGACAATAGTTGGATAGAAAGCTGCTGTTTAGATTTTCTCTGTTTGGAAGTGATAATGAGATGATTTTGTTACTCTGAAGATCTGTGAAAATAATTTATGCCCTTTTTTGAAGGATATGGTGGTGGTTTTAATGAAAGAGAAAATGTTGAATATATAGAAAGAGAAGAATCAGATGGAGAATATGATGAGGTAAGTTCTACTTAGGTGTATAAACAATATAAATTATGGAAATATTAGAAAATATTCTATGTGCAAAGGAATATTTTTAAATAACTTTTGTTAAGTACAATAGTACTAATGCATTTTCAGCCTACAGAAATAATTTTGAAATTGTTTCTCTGTAGTTTGGACGTAAAAAGAAAAAATATAGAGGGAAAGCAGTTGGTCCTGCATCTATATTAAAGGAAGTAGAAGATAAAGAATCAGAGGGAGAAGAAGAGGATGAGGATGAAGATCTTTCTAAATATAAATTAGATGAGGTAAGCAATATTTTATTTACTTGTCTTGAACTGTTACATAATATGAATGCTTTTGGCAGCTTTGGACCTTGGTAAAGTTATATTCTTAAAATATTATGAACTTGACTTTTCTGAATACAGTTTTTGCTTTGAAGATATAATGGTGACTAAGACAAAACCATCCTTCTCACTAAATTTTAGAGGAGGGCAGATGTAAATGAACAAGATAATTTCCATACTGGTCGTGTCAGGAAGACACAGTGGATCTAATGGATAATAAAAAAAGATGTTTTGGTTCCACTGGGCAAATTCTGAGATGAAATCTGAACTGAGAATTGAGTGGTAAGAATAGCTAGAGAAAGAAGCTGGGGTGAAAGCACATTCAGGCAGAAAATTAAATGGAAATAACCCAGCAATGTTTTTAAAAAATTCAGCCGGGCGCCCGTGGTTCACACCTGTAATCCTAGCTACTCAGGAGGCTGAGATCTGAGGATCATAGTTCAAAGCCAGCCCATGCAGGAAAGTCCATGAGACTCTGATCTCCAATAAACCATTAGAAAACTGGAAATGACGGCTGTGGCTCAAGCAGTAGAGCACTCGCCTTGAGCTGAAGAGCTGAGGGATAGCGCCCAAGCCCAGAGTTCAAGCCCCATGAGCAACCAAAAAAAAAAGATTCATATAAATAGGCCACTGTAGCTAGATCAATGTGGAAAGAGTAATAAGGAATTAATTCACCCTAGTCTGGTAATGTTTGTTCTATAGGACTTGATTGTAAATTTTATAGTCTTTTTCTAGAGATACAAATCTAGCATTCTTTGGAATCTGACCTTAAGAGGCAGAATAGTTTTCCAGAGTTGGAGAGACCAACTAAGAGCTTAATGTGGGAGACAAAAGAACATGAGTCGTGTGTGTGTGTGTGTGTGTGTGTGTGTGTGTGTGTGTGTGTGTGTGTGTGTGTGTGTGTGTGTGTGTGTGTGTGTGTGTGTGTGTGTGTGTGTGTTGAAACATTGAATTCAGGGCCTCAAGAGCTCACTGGATTTGCTATTACTCTCCTATTTTGAGCCACTTCACCCGTCACCATTTGGCTAGTTAATTGGAGGTAAAATCTTAAGATTCCCAGGCTCTCTGCCTGGGAACAGAAAGTTAGGGCATTGTACTCTGTCCTCTGGGTCTCACCCTCCTGAGTAGCTAAGATTACAGGCATGAGGCATTAGCATCCACCTGAGGCTGAGGCTCAGCAGCTTTTAAGGAGGACAAATTGAAAGGGAGTGTTTGCATATCCTTGGGGAGGTGGTAGGTCTTAGGATTTGAATTATGGGCCTAGGCACTATCCCTGAGCTGCTCAAGGCTAGCAGTCTACCATTTGAGCTATAGCTCCACTTCCAGCTTTTTTGGTAATTGACAGACTCCTAAGCAACTACATGCCTAAGCCACTAACACCCAGCAGAATTTAAATTCTTGACAGCTATCTTGCAGTACATTATAGTAGGAAGAATGGAAAGGAGTACAACTCAAGGTAGTTATCAAGTGTGTATAACTATGGAGAAATTTAATAGATGAATTATAGAATTGAGAGTCAATTTGCTTGGAGCTGTTAAATACATCCATATGAAAATAACTAGTATACAGACCAGTTTGTTTTTTTCTGGTAGGTGACATTAATAGCTAATTATGTAAATGTAATTGAATTTTATTAGGATGAGGATGAAGATGATGCTGATCTCTCAAAATATAATCTTGATGCCAGTGAAGAAGAAGATAGTAATAAAAAGAAATCTAATAGACGAAGTCGCTCAAAGTCTCGATCTTCACGATCTTCATCACGCTCATCCTCCCCCTCAAGTTCAAGGTCTAGGTCCAGGTAAACGGGTACAGGTCAAGGGTAACATCAGTCAAAATGTCAGTATCTAACTTCTTTACTTATAATTTCTTTTAACTAAATAAGCTTTTCTTTGTATTTTAAACATTAGTAAAGTCATCTTTTGAAAGACTTCATTTTGGTATCATGTAGTTATGTCTGTTTTCAAAAATGCAAAATGTGAAACTTCTTTATCCTACTTTAGCATAACATTTACTAGAACAAACAAATTTTACGTATAGTTGTTTAGTTACTTAGTTCACATTAAGACATTTTTTAGTTAATGATAGGGAGAATTCAGTATGTTAAAGTAACAAATTCATCAGTACTTGTTCTTTTACGTAATGCTAATTTGGAATTCCCAGAAATAAGTAGAGCATTGAATTGATGTTGGATTTGAATATTCTTTTATAGTGTAAAATACATATTATCTGTGATTTTATAGTTAACATTAATTATAAATATTAGTTGAGAAAACTGAGTCTTAGAATTCAAATAGGGCATCTCGCATTGTCCCATATTTTCCTGTATGTTTTCCTTTAAGCAGTGTGTTCTGAGTAAATAGAAAAACAGAGATCAGATGTACACCTCAACATTTAAAGCTCAATGCTAGCTAGATAGTAAGGAAATAAGTTTATACATGAAGATGGTAAGAACATTCCAAAGAATTTATCTTCCTGGATATGTTAGTGCTAGGTGACTTCTAATGAATTATTGGTGAATATAAAGTATTCATTGTCTAATAAACCAATAGGGCTCATTGTTTGCAATCTAGTGGTTTTAGAGTAATCAGGTTTGAAAAATGATAGCTAGTTTTTTCTTTAACTTTTTTATTATAACAGTAAAAAGATTAAGGTAATTTTATTTTGAAACTAATTTGCCTAGATACCTTTTTATATGAAAATGAACTCTGATTTTTTTTTTCACTGTTCATATCACAAAGCTCAATTAAATGGTCCTGGAAAAAAAATGATTCCATGTTGTTCCAGGTCCCGTTCAAGAAGTTCTTCCAGTTCGCAGTCAAGATCTCGTTCCACTTCCAGAGAACGTTCGAGATCTCGTGGGTCGAAATCAAGGTGAATGAGGTAGCAACTCTCTGGAAAACAGAGAGGAAAAATACTTAAAAGCTGCAGAAGGTGTTGCTGCTTCCCCCCACCCACCCACTTATTTTGCTTCTGTCAATTTTATTTTAGCCTTAGAAAACTAATGCACTTACCTTGGCTTAATTTTCTCACCATGAAATGTTTCCATTACCAGCAGTGTACCAAGACATTCCCATGATTGAATTAAGGTGACTACTTCGTGTTATAGAAGATTTGTTATTTTGGAGCTAGAATATGATAAATCAGAAGGTCTAGCCAAATAATAGCACTACAGCACTAGTATATTAAGATTTCTGTAGTAGAGGAAGAAAAATATTTCCCTGAAAACAGGATACTTACAGAAGGCGGATACTTAAAGAAACACCTTTGCCAATTGTATCAGATAAGATTTCTAGGGAGTGCTGTATACATTTCACTTCTCTGATTTTAAATGCCATTATAAGTTACGCTTGTAGGCTAGACACTTCTCTTAAAGCAAAAATAGTACATTAATTTCGTTATTATGTGGCCTCAGGCCTTGCTGTAAATTTTCATATTTAGTCAAAAATGTAGAGGGAAACAATTTCTAAAGAAATAAATGAAATACTAAGTTTTGCTCTCAACTTTTTTGAGTGAGTGTATTGATTAATACAGCATTTTACATAATTCCACTTACCAAAATTCACATTGAAGTTTGATAGTAGCCCTTACCTGTTAGGGAAACTGCAGTTTAGTCATACTAAAGATTATGTGCACGTTTGTATTAAGCCAATACAAATAGCAAATAATGTTTCAGTATGTATTAGTATTGTAGCCCTTTTATTACTTCTTAATTGAAAATTCTTAAGTTTTGGTATTTTCTTTGAGAACCAGTCATTTAGATGTGCAGAATAGCCTTCGTATTCTAAGTATTTTTAATTGCTTATAACTTTCCAAAGAATTCTCCTTTTGGGCTTTCTGCTTTATTAAGCCCAAAGGTGAATTTTTTGGGAAGTTTGAGCTAAATTCCTTCAGCCAAAATATGTAAATGAAGAATATTTGCATTTAAATACTGCATATTTACTTCTACCTGAAACATGTGAATGTCAACACTTCATACTTCATGAATATTGATATTTCATGAAGATAAATATTGTGAATATGCAAGTTTAAAAGTAACTCATTTTTCTTTGAGTATTTAGCTATTTGCTTCACCTACAGTTCTTTCTTATTCCTATATTATATCCTTTATTTTTTTATAGCAGTGTAACTAATAAGTTGCAGAGTTCCACAGGGAATTATATTTTTGTTTCCCTGATTGTGTAGAAGATACATTTTTTTTCTCCCTGAATGGAAGAATGTAATTTCTAAAAATGAACTTACAGAATTTCAGTTACCTGCTGATTTTACTGTTTATGCATTTTAAATTGCAAACCATAAATAGAAAAAATTAAATTGTATGTTAGTACAGTAAGCCAGTTTTCAGTTACAAGGGTAAACACTTAGAATTTTTTCAGAGATTAAAATAATTTTATTTAAGTAGAATTTTTCATGGTTGATCCCGAAGTCTTCTGTTGAGTAAGCTGTAAGTATTCCTTCTTATAAAATTCTAATAGACATGAGTTCTTTTTTTTTTTTCTATTTTTGGAAATTGAATGATCATCTATATTTCTTCTTTTAATGAAATGTCTGATTTGTTTCTCAATCAATGAAGATCCAGCTCCAGATCCCACAGGGGCTCTTCTTCCCCACGAAAAAGATCTTATTCAAGTTCTTCATCTTCTCCTGAGAGGACCAGAAAGAGAAGTCGTTCTAGATCTTCTTCACCTGGTGATCGAAAAAAAAGACGAACAAGATCACGGTCACCCGAAAGGTTTGGGTTTCTGTAGAAATAAGAATGGGTGTTCTTAAGTGTATTTTATTTAATACATAAATTAAACTTCCTAGTCAAGAGTTAGATTTTTATCTCCTCTGTTCCTGTTTTAAATTAGATGTTTCATCTTTTTTAAGAATTGGATTGCTTTGTTTAGCCTCTTACCTGAATGGAGTTATTCATAAAAGGTATAGATCAAGCCATTCTCTGATCATATTATTGCTGAAATTTTTATTTCCATGTAATTATTATAGCCAACTCTCGGTTATTTTTGTCTTTTAAAGATTACAACTCAGAAGCTGTATGTTGAAATAATACTGAGATTGATTTTTATATATTTTATATGCTATTTTAAGTTAAATATAGTAGAAATTCTAGGCCATCTAATATTAACATTCAAGATCATTAGGACTCTGTCCTTATTTAAGTATGTATAAATACATTTCCTTAACATTGTTTTGTTCCCTTTGTAAGAATATTTTCCTTAATTGAAAATACATTTCTTATCTGCAGTCATAAGTCCATTTTTTCTTCTAGAGAAGGATCTCTTCTAGATTAATCTCTGTATATGTATATTTTATATATAATATTACATTTATTTACTTATTCATGTGGCTTGATCTAAGGGCCTCGGTCCAGACCTTTGGTCAACTTTTTCGCTCAAAGCTTGTGCTCTGTCACTGGAGCCATGCCTCCATTTATCACTGGAGGATTTGTCTGGCTAGACTAGTTCCAAACCTTATTCAGATCTCAGTCAACTGAGTAGGTAAGGCAGAACCACCAGTACCTAACAACATTTTTTAATTTTGATGGTTGTAATTGTAATATGTCAGTATTTTCTGCAACAGGCTTATACAGCTTAATTAGTTTTATCTCGCTTCTCCGTATCCAACTATATTATTTTGCTGGCTCATTTGTAATCTTGGCAAATTTTACACGCCCTTTTGACTTGCAAAAAATTTAGGATTATGAAACTCTAATAATGGATTATCTCATTCCTGCATGTACAGAATGATTTTATTTTGAAGTAGATACAAAGATTACACACAGTTAGACTTTGTTTTTGTGCATTTGTTTCTTTGTAAGAAAATTACTCTGTACTTGAGTGCAATTTATTCTGTTGCTTTCTTACCACTTCTGCAAATTTTTATCTTAGCCACATATAATCCCCTAGTTTTGTTGTCATCTAAACTTAATAAACATGTTCTCTATTCCATAAGCCAGGTGATTGGTGAAAACACTAAACAACCCTGAGCCCAGGGCCAACCCCTACGGAACACCACTACTTTACCCAGGTTGATATTCACTTATTCATATTAGCTGCATGAATATAACACTATAACTAATTGTACATTCATCTGTGTGATCAGATTTCCCAAATTTCATTATTTGTGAATATATTTTTCCATACACAGAAGCCTTGCTAAATCTGTTTTACATAAGGACTTACTGCACTTTTCTAAGTGTATCACTGATTGGTCTACACACTTCATTGCCAAGTTTATATGCCTTTGTTTTAGTTTATCTGTAACTATGCATTTTGCAAGGCTTTTCTTCATTGCCTTAAATAATTGAGAGGTGGCTATATTTTGAAAAGAATATATTTTTATATTGCAGAGTTTTAAAATTATACCATTATTGTGCTCACATGCAAAGTGTAAATAGCAGGTGATTTTATGTGTGTAAATTTGTTTTTAATTACGGTTTTTGCCAGCATCAAGGTTTTAACTTTTTTAAGTCATAAAGAACAGTGAAATCTAACTGTTGCTTACTGCATTGTTTGCTTTTTCTCATTATGTCTTCCAGGCACCACAGGTCATCTTCTGGATCATCCCATTCTGGTTCCCGTTCAAGTTCAAAAAAGAAATAGTGTATTAAAATTTACATCTTACAAAAAAAAATCCACTACAGTGCATGAAGCATATTTTTTAAGAAATTGATGTCTTACTTTGTCAGAAGTGCTAAATCTGCTAATAGAGGTGCATGCCTTTATTGATTTTTCAGAACAGAGCAGTACAACTGTGTTTATTTGTGAAAGTAAAAGTAAATTGCATTTTAAGCCATAATTTCCCCCAAGTAGATGCTCTATTCATTATTTTACAACCATTTGCTTCATTTAAAACCATAAGAATACTTTGTTTCCTGATTTAAATTCTGAGTACATCCTATCCTATTGCCTAAGGCAAGATTTTCTAAGTTAGTCTGAACTTATAGGCAGAACTAAACTACTTGGAAGCTAGGTTTGTCTGGCATACAGGCAGGACTAAACTAGTTGGAAACAACCTTATGTGGAGCTGGGAAAAGCCTATTTATGTTATTAACCTATGTCAGAATGGTTTTTAAGTTTTAGAGCTGCCAACTGAAACTTTATTTTAAATTCCCTATATTCAGGGTGCCTTAGCATCATTTTCTTTCTTTTATCCAGCTTTATACCAGTTTTGCACCACCATCTATAATGCAAAAACAAATTGTAGAAGGAGAATGGTTTTCCTTTCTGACCCATGGGGCAAGGAAGACCTAACAGTTCATCTGATATTGTCGACTGAAAACAACATCTTATTCAAAATGTTTATCTTAAAACTTTAAGAAGCTTTTATTGATAACCTTTAAAAGTCCAATTGTCAAATACAATAGGGTTGCAAAGGGTAAATCATAGTGAGCCGACTGAAGAACGCTTTTGAGGTGTACTTCTGGTGAAAGGCCAACGAAGACATTGTGAACTTAAGAGAATGTTTGCCATGTTTAATTTTCAATAAGCTTTGTAAAGTTTTTTTTTTTGTAATTACAAATGTTTATTTCTATACAATTTAATGAGCAAAACCCATTATTCGCTCAAAAAAAATTTATGGCTTAAAATGCTTTCAGTTTTAATTCTCAGAATTAGTATCTGGTCATTTGGACTCCATTTTGTTTTTCTGGCTTAAAAGTAGAAAGGTTTCTCTTAACAGTATCTTCAAAGACAATGCAAGGTAAGTATCTTAAGGGATATCAAAAATTGTGCTTGGGGGCTCTTTTTATGGGGTATTAATCTCCTTTTCTTGTTATTCCCCTCCCTGCTTAATATTGTCTGCTGCAATTTAAAGGCGTTTTACGGTGTTTGGTAGACAAACCAAAATGTTTTTTATTTTAAAGTGAGTGGTTTTTTTTTTTTCTCTTCACCTGATCTAAAGATGAAAAGATACGTAGAAATATTTTGATAATATTTTTACAACAAGCTTTCCCATGTTTTTATGTCTTAATTTTCCTTGCTACATGTATTGTAGGTTGCACAAGAATTTTTATTCTCTTGTAATTGTGCCTCAACTTTTTGAAAATCACCTTCTAAGTTGCCCAGGTGATCTTCTAAATGATACATGTTACATTGGTTTATTCTTGTGCTTTCTGTATTCAGATTTTTGGCTGTACTAAGCAAATGCAAGGTTCTAAATTTAGCTAATAGTTTACAGACAATTCAGATGATTATGATTTCATTTGGCTTAACTGAGTTGTACTAGTTCATTTCATAAGGAAATAATACTGTAGACAAATGTAAATAAAATCTGTGAGTCAAGCATCAAGTGGTGTTTGTTAGAAATAAACCATTTCTGAGCTGTGATTGGATGTTCATTTTTAAGCTAAGAACAGTTTTTCTTGATTTTTTTTTTAAGTGGTAGCTTTCTATATGAGTGGTTGGTTTAAAAGATTCCAAATGATCACTACAACCTTATGTGCTCTGATTTTTTTTTTCATAATAACTTCCTAGTAGAACATTAGATGCCTTATTCCCTGTAGTAAATAAAATATGAATATCATTGCATGCTTCCTAAATTACTACTTACAACTCTGCATTTAACTGCCAAGTTTTTGATGTTTCATTTTTGGAATCCTCTCATCTGAACAATATTGAATGGAGAGAAGAATTATGTACATTACTATTTCTAAACAGTTACAATGATAATTAGGATATTATTTACATTTTATCTCCTCTTGCTGTCTAACATTGATATCCAGTTATTGTAGGTGTTGTAGGGAATTTTTCCACTGCCTACTTTGTTGACCAAGGGGAGGGAGTGGCACAATGAAGTTTGATCTCAGGGCCTCACATTTGCTAGGCTGGTGTTTTGCCATTATAGCCACACCTCTGGCCCTGATTTTTGCTGCTGATTATAGTTGAGATAGGGTCTTCCCAAACAGGCATGCAACTGACTAGCAGTCTGCCTACTTTAGACTTCCAGTTGTTGCAGGAATCAGAGTTGCATGCCACCATCTAGCTTTCTTCCATGGAAATGGAGTGTTGTGGACTCTATGCCTCGACTGGTCTAGAACTTCAGTCTTCCTCAGTCTCATTCTCCCATATAACTTTTGATCATCCATGCATACCCTTGCACACAGTTTTAGATTGAGAAAGGGACTTACAACTTTCTGTCCATCTGGCCTCCCAAGTAGCTAGGATTACATGTTAGAGAGACATCAGTGTCCATCTGAAATGTTTTTGAAATATAAAATCTTTATAGTTTCTTTTTACCAAAAAATTGTATTGTTTTATGTCTAGAAAAGTACACAATTTTGATGCACTGTTAAACAAGGAACTTAAAATTTTGCTTAAGGACACAAATGGGAATTTACCCCTAAGAACATAGATTCCGTTTTATGTTGTTGCTGGGCTTTTTGGTGCCAGTTCTGGAGTTTGAACTCAGGGCATAAGAGCTGTCTCTGAGCTTTTTTGCTCAGAGCTAGTGCTATACCACTTGAGGTGCAGCTCCACTTCTGACTTTGGTGGTCATTTGGAGATAAGAGTCTCAAACTTTCCAGCCCGTCCTGGCCTCAAACCACCATCCTTAGATCTCAGCCTCCTGAGTCTCTAGTGTTGAGGATCTACCAGTGCTCAGCCAATTAAATCTTTTTTTTAATTCCATTTAAAACTTTGACCATCCTGAGTTCTGACCCCCCCCCCTCTTGCTTGAATATTACTGGATGTAGCTGGTTGTTCACAGTGGGGAGTTGTTGCTGGTTTTTTTTTTAATGTATTAGGGACTATAGGTTTTTCCAAAGAATGCCATACAAGTAACTTTGTGACCTGTGAGTGGTGCACATTATATAATATTTCTGGGGGTGTTAATAGTCAGGGTAGGATTTGCTTGTTTTTCCTTAACCTGTTCCTTTGAAACGAGTTACTAAGTGTACCTGACCAGTATATGAATAAGAGAGTTAAGGTTGAACCATTGTTGTTAAGGGTAGATGTCTACACCTATTTGGAGTTCTTAAATAAAATTTATCTCTCCGTTTGTATCTAGATTTGTTATTTTACACTGTTCATTTTACTGACCAAAGTGTTCTGGCTTTGGTCATTGTGAGAATTTTTTCAGATTGACTCTTATGTCCTTTGATAGGCCTTCCTTATCAAAGAAGTAGGTCATGAAAACATAGAAGAATTGCTGAAGAATATCAAATAAAGGAATGAATAGGCCCTTCAGTAGTGGTGATGGTGTCTCAAGTAAGCCTTGGTAATATCAGAAAGAATGGACACATTACTATCAAATTTGTCGTTATTGAGAGACACCTTGTTTTTTGGTTTTTCAACCATGTTGGAGACTGTTCGGGTTCTTAGAATATATTGTATTATTGCGGACAGATATAAAAAAAATAATTCCTAAATGTTAATTTAGCAAAATAAGTACTAGATAAATGGTTTAATACCTTAATAGTTAAAATTTTGAGGAAAGCTGAAACATTCAGAGAAATTTTTCAGAATCTACGTTTGAGACCAAAGATAGGAAAGCCTTTCTAAAATACCTCATAGTAAAGTTAGTCTCTGGGAAATGAGAAGACTGAGGGTGGGTTTATAAGAAATAGCACTACTGTGACTCTGAGGGTGGGCCTAGGGGAAAGAATGATTGATCTTTGTAATAATATTAGAATTAAACATTAAACACAACAATAATGATTTGAAGACCTTAGGGTTGAACTCCAAACCAAAGAAGTTATTATGTGCCCTCCATAAAATAGAACATCTATGTTCTATTGTTAAAAACTAGCTTATCCCAAGGTTGAAAACCTCCAAGCTGAATTGTATAAATTATCCCACTGGAATCAAAAGTACTTGTCTTGAATTTTAGTCCATGATGACTGGCCCCAAGTATGGTTGTTTTGCATAGAGTATCATACCTAAATGAAAATAATGGGGTTTACCTTGTAGGAATTAGAATTTTCAGATATGTACTTCCCTTCCTCTGAGAGCACTGGATGCATACACTAAACTTGTATGTATACATCAAAACGTCAAATCAGTTCACTGTTGCAGCACATTTCACATTGATCTAGCATCCACAAAGAATCCCCTCATTTCCTTTTTACCTTCTGACTTGAAATAAAATTTATTTACTTAGAACTAGCAACTGCAAAACCAAGCCTACTGTGCTTTGTTAACATTGCCATTGTTTTATAGAGCCGAATGCCATTTGCTTCCTAAAATGGTCCTCTAGGATTCAGTAGGTTATCAACATTTTCTAAATAAGTGCCTACTCAAACACTGATTGTCCTTCATCACTGTCTTACCAAGTCACAGCCTTCTTTTAATGTCATTTCTTTGCTTAAAACCTTTCATTTGTCTTCCAGAATTAAACTAGTACTTTCTGCATGTTTTCAGTGTTGACCACCAATTTTGTTTTTATTTTGTGTGTGTGCTAGTACTGAGGTTTGAACTAAGTTCTTCCTTGGGTTTTTTTTGTTTTTCATAAATGGGAAGATGTTTGATGTTCCAGTAGAGTATAGATTTCCTGTAAGTAGCAAATAAATATGCTGTCAATTATACTTAAGGTATATTGTTGAATGAACTCTGAACAATCTCCAAAGGAGATTCTATCCTGATGGCAGCAGAAGTAAAGTGAGAACAGAACTACAAAGTAAAAAATTGAAATTAAATAATGGGATTTTGGTTTTTAAATTTTACTCTAAAGGTTATGTACAGAGGGGTTACGCTTAACACAAGTCAGATAATGAATACATTTCTTTTTGAACAGTGTCACTCCCTCATTTTCTCCCAGTTTTTTTCCCTCCCCACACCTCCAAGTTATATAGTTCATTTCCAACATAGTAGTGAATATCACAGCCAAATTAGTTCACTCTTGGTTGCACTGTTGTTTCGTTTTGTTTTGTTTTTATTTTTTTATTGTGAAAATACCCTACTGAGGGGTTACAATTACATCAGCAAGGTAATGAGTGCATTTCTTATGCATGGTTGCCTCCTCTGTTTCACCTTCCCATCCCTTCCCATTCCCCTCACCCCCAGCCAAAGTTGTAAAGTTCGTTTTTCAACATAATGACTTGTACATCTCATTGTTGCAATGGGTCCACCTGTATTGTTTTGTTTTAATTGGAAATACTGTTCAAAGCCTGTAGTGTCCAGCTAAATCAGTGTCTGGAAATGTGTGACTTTGAAAACCTATGGAGTAGGAGAAAGTGATTAAATATGTCAAAGTTCCATTTCAAGAATTCAGAAAAATAATTGGTAAAATACAAATTAGAAGGTGAGAAGTAAATTAGGAACTGAGAATTACTCAAGGTTAACCTTTCCACCTGAAACATGGCAACAGTTTTTGGTACATTGGACCAGCTGTGGAAAGCAGTGGCTAGTGGAAAAAAGGAGATGAATCAAACCTTGATAAACCTGCCTGCCTACTTGGAAAAATTTGTAGTATACGTTGCTAACCTGGATATCTTATTTGCCCTGAGTTGAAGGTGGGGAGGAAATAGCTCAAGACCCTTTAGTTTTCCTACAAGTCAGTACAAGAAAGGAGTTTCATAGATATGTCTTACATAGAGGTTTGTTGTTTTGTGTCCTTAGATAAGCAGTTTGGGGAAAGCCACCAATGGAGGAAGCTCTGTTTTGTAAAGCCATTCATCCTTAACTTGCTTAAAGCTAGTGATAGGGCAATAATGTAAAGCAGTTCTGTGTGGAACTGCTAAAAATTACACCAGATTTGTCAGAAGTAGCCAGAAGATTATGTGACATTCTATATATTTCTAAATATAGATGAAAAAATAAAACTTTAATATGCTAAAAACATGCTAGATCTAAAAAAAACAAAACCCTGGGATAATACAGAAATATGGATCCACATAAAGTGGTCACACAATGATACTGTAAGTTCTTTTGGTATCTAAAAGGTTCTAAAGTAGCCAAGCTTACATGCACAAATAAAATTTAACAGCATATAGGCAACTGATGATTTTAGATTCCTCTCTAAACCAAGTTATACATGATCAAATGAAGGGGAAATGAGTGGAATCATAAATACCTGGTACACATGAAGCCAGAAAAGTAGTGTAGTTTTAACCCAAATTATATCAATTATTAACTTCAAGGTAAGTGAACATCCCAATTATAAGGATGTGTGTGTGTGTGTGTAGATATAGAATACTCTTATCCTTGTTAAACTTTGAGAAGGTAAAAATGTGACAATAGTTTCTGAAACAGTAGAATTGAGAGAAGACTTAGATAAATGTTACTTGGTGATAAAAAGTGCCAATCAAACATCTGTTTAAGCTTCAAATGCACAGCAAAAATTGATAGAGCTACAAACAAATCCACAGTTAAGCTATGTCTATGTCCCTATC